TAGCCACATAACTAAGGTTAACCACCGGAGATGAGACATCTAAATCTGGAAAGATGGCTCCTACTTAAAATCATATCCCAGATTTACATCATCGGCTGTGCTGAGATGACTGTGTGACTTGTGAGTCAGCTTCCTGAGGGTTAGAGATAAAGTTAAACCACTTTAAACACTGAGAATTGTTTTCATTTAACTTCTGGATGTAAATAGCTCTTCTTGTTGAGAAAGTGGAGGATTTCAGATGCTTCCTCAGTCAAACTCAGTCAACTCGGATGGCTGAAACCTTTGAGCTAACTGAATACGTATTAAACCTCGAGCTTAAACCTGTTAAACTCTAACCCTCGAGTCCCATAGTGTAGTGGTTACCACGTTCATCTCACAAGCGAGAGGTCTCAGGTTTGATTCCTGGGGCAGGGTGAAGCCTCAGGCAAATTTCCTTACCCCACACACACGCCTGTTTACCGAGCAGCAGTAGGAACTCACTTGTTAGTCAATTGGCGGATCGCTTTCCGGAGATAATAATCTCTCAAAAAAAATCGGTCACTCCATCCATGACTGTTTGTGGGACACATCTGTGCTCAATCGGCTGCCCCATTTCACCCACAAAAACTGTTCAATTTACTTGATAATATATTCCGTGAGACAGACACTTTGACACATCTCAAAGACGTGATAAGGCGCTATATCAAATGCAAGGAATATTATTATTGTTAGTTAATATAGGAACAACTTTGCAGTGTGGGGAAGGAGAAAGGGTTCAAGCATAAAGATGTACATCATCCCTGCCATGTACTCCTACTTTGTACAGCTTTGTTCAGATAAAAATAATCCCTTCAAAATTACCTGTGTAGCACATGAAATTCCTCCGGGTTAGTGTAATGGTAAGAATATAGTTTAACTTTTCTGGTTTTAAACTTGTCTCATTCAAATGGTGACTGCTGACTATTCAAAGCGTGTCAAGTGAAAAAATAAAGATATTCTGTTTAATCTATAAATGGGTTAGTAGTCGCTGTGCTGGTAATTGGGTTACTAGTTCCATGGTTACTTGTTACAAAAGCTCCCCAGTTACTAATACACTTCATAACATTGTCTCCAAAAAATCCTCCATTCACCCCCAAAACATCCTCCATTCACTCTCATCCATTCTCCCTGCCAGGAGCTTGGCGATGACCTATTAGTCTCAGGTTGAATACTAATAATAATGATCCTTACATTTGATACAACGCCTCATCACGTCTTGGAGACGTCTCAAAGCGCTTCACAGAATATACTGTAAAGTGACTTGATTGTATATTTTGTGGTTGAAATGTGGCAACCAATTGCACACAGCAGCGCCTGTCCCACAAACAGTTGTGGATTGTGTGACCAAATTCTCTATATGCTTTTTGGAGGGATTATTACCTCCAGAAAAGTGATCCGCCAATCGACTAACAACCGAGTTCCTACTTCCTGCTAAGTAAACAGAGGCGTGTGGAGTAAGGAAACTTGCCCAACGTTTCACTCTGCCCGGGAATCAAAGTCAAGTCATATCAATAAGTTTCTTCAATATCAATTTTTGTAAAAAAAAATCATGTAATTGTTGATAAACAAATAATACTTTGTGGTCAGTTTAACTTAAAAAAACTGATTTATTTACAAACAGTGATCTATTGTATTCATACAGTTTTTTAATTATCTATGGTATAATAAGCATCCTGTCAATATAAATATCAGGCTCAACATACCAATGTAATATTATCTTAGGTTAAAATCTGCAAAATAAAAAAAGTGTGGAAATCTAGGGCCAATCTGCCAAAAACAGCCAATTCTTCATCAATTACTTGTTAAAAAGTGAAAAAATATCTGATCATAAACATGATTTGAGGTTATCATAGAATCATAGAATGTTTCGGCACAGAAGGAGGCCATTCGGCCCATCGAGTCTGTGCAGCTCTTTGACAGAGCGTCACTCTCACTGACCCCAATCACCAGCTTTCTCCCCATAACCCCACAAACCCGTCTTCCCCGATACCTGTCCAGTTCTCTCTTAAAAGCTGTTATCGAATCGGACTTCACTGCCCTTTCGGGCGGATCATTGCAAATCCCAACAACTCGCTGAGTGAAAACATTTCTTCTAACCTCCTCTCTGCTTCTCTTGGTAGGTTATTCTTGGAGATTGTCTAATTTTTCTGCAAGAATGATAGTTCCTCTATGACTGGAAATGGAGAAGGGATCTCCATGGAAAGCAATGAGACATGGTTGGTGGACTACTGTATCTCAGTGGTTGGACCCAGGTTTGATTCCCGGGCAGGGCAAGAAGTTGGACTTGGTGTTCTATTGCCCAGCAAATTCTTATGTTCTTATAGTCTAGTTTACATTTCTCATTCTCAAAAGCAGGTGGACTTTGATTTTTAATATCCCTGAATTTGCTTTGCTAAAGAACAAACCTAATCTGCTTTATCAACACGTGACACAACATAATCTGATTCACGAAAACACAAAAGCACTTTCAGTAATATTAACATCGCTCCATTTTGTGCTATCTTTCTGCAACTTGTTTTGCAGTGGATTGTGAGAAAAACCCTTTGTAAATACAGTATATTTTAATAATAATAATATTATGCACATTTGAACCAATTTCCTTAAAATCTTGTAGCCTTTCACAAATCAGACAAATTGTAGCTGAAATATCAACAGAAGTTCACATTTTCACTCACACAGCATCTCAAAATACTGTATAACAAACATACAGCAGTATTACAAATATTTAGGAAACAAATACAAGGCCTTTTATTTGCGAGAGCAAAGGTCAACTGCCAACCCTTCAGTACACACTGAAACTCTTATTTAACTTACAATATTGATTGACACAAAGCTATAAATAATAAAAATAACATTTTAGATCATATTTTAGTCATGTCAAAACCTCTCAGGCACGTCACACAATGTTATTTTATGAAACAAACCGATGGCTGGTATTCAGGAAATACCCACCAATTAATCCGCACCAGAAACAGCTGATAAATACACAATGATAAATGGATGATTGATTGATTAATTTTGATGAGGAAGAGGTATTAATTGAGTCACCAAGTGACTGCTCTGCTTCAGGCCAAGGGAACTTTCTTTTATGGAAGCATAAACACACAAGAACATTTCCAGATTCAAACACTGATCAAACCTCATTATTGCCATCATGCAAAATGCACATAAGTGGATAATAATAACAATAACAATAATAATCCTTGCATTTGATACAGCGCCTTATCACGCCTTTGAGACGTCTCAAAGCACTTCACAGAATATACTGTAAAGTGACTATATTTTGTTGGCAAAATGCGGCAGCCAATTGCGTACAACAGAGTCTGTCCCAAAACAGTCTCTTGACTAAGTGACCAAATGTTTTTTAGAGGGAGGAACAATAGATAAGGGCAGGACTCACAGTTAAATAGGCTCACAGATAAAATAGATACCACAATCCACCCCCATGGCCGGCACTCCCTCATACCCCCGGCACCCGCGGCACAGTCACTAACTTTACAGTATATCCTGTGAAGCGCTTTGAGACGTCTCGAAAAGGTAACGAGGCGCTGTGTCAAATGTAAGGATTATTATTATTATTTCTCACATTATAGAGATACTGGATAATGTACAGTGATGGTGATCACTAAGTGAATGATTTTAAAGATTCCACTTTAAGGCTATAGTCAAACACAAAAACAATTGAAAACAACAAGTGAAGCTATTTTAAGGGATGAGTAATTATGACTTGGATGATTTTTTCCTGGTAATGAGAGTACTAAGCCTTTCAATGTTACATAGCATTTACTATGAAATGGTTTGAAGTAACTACCCACATCTCATCCTTCCGCAATGGTCATTCATTCATAACCTCTGAGTGTCCAGAGAGTACAGACACTACAGTATATTTGCAAAGGACAAATCACTTTTGTCTATTATTTATCAACATAGAAACACAACAAACAGGAACATAAACAGACTATTTTAGGGCTCGATTGCTGAATTCAATATTTCCTCTACAATGTAACTGCATTACAATCAGTCCACATTTCAGCTTTTGAATGAATATTAGATGATATCTCATCATGTCAATGTTTGAAGATACCTCTTTCTCACAAACACACAAACTATATGCAATGTTAATGAAAATGTAAGAGCAGTGAATCAACAGTCACACTTCAGTGAGCCGGGATGCATGACATGCACATGTAATTCAGCCAAATTCTACATTCATTTCACAGTCATTTCTAAGATCACATCACATTTTAAAATGCCTGTAAGACAATTTTGCGTTTTCTTTCTCTCTCTCTCTCTCTCTCTCTAACAGACCTGTGTGATCGGTAGGAGACAGAGAGGATAAAAGCTCTCAGTTGCTATCAGTGTCGTGTTGCATATTAAATCTGCAGCTAAATTACAAAATGCACTGCAGCTTTCACCATCTGTCACAGGGCACACACCAACCACACTCTCCTGGCTACTCCCCCAAAAATAAATAATAACAATAATAATTTGGTCACTCAACCCACGACTGTTTGTGGGACGCTGCTGTGCGCAATTGGCTGCCGGGTTTCTGTCACAAAACATACAGACAATTCACTTTACAGTATCAAAACACAAAATGCTGCAGATGCTGGAAACGTGAAACAAACACCGACGTGGCCGGGAACCCTCAGCAGGTCAGGCAGCATCTGCGGAGAAAGGAAAGTGAGTCAACGCTTCGGGTCCGCGACCCTTCGCCAGAACCCTTCAGCTTTTTGCTTCGCTTCACAGTACATTCCGCGAAGCCCTTCGAGGCGTCTCCACGACCCGAGAAAGCGCTGCGTATCAAACACAGGGATTATTACTGGTACGAATTGTGAGGACTCCGAAGAAGCCAAACTGTGCTGCACATCCCCCCCCACCCCCACCCCCCCACCCCCCCACACACACACACTGTGCACCAGGATACGTGGCTCTGGGGCTTTTATTTCTTGCTGCAATAAAGGAAAGTGCCCAGAAATTACCGTTGGCAGTAATGGCTCCATCTGCGCTCCTTGGTCTTTCATGTCCATTCTCTGGGCTGCGAGTGAGTGAGTGAGTGAGTGAGTGAGTGAGGGTGAGGGTGAGGGAGAGGGTGAGGGAGGTACCCGCTGTGGTGCTGATGCTGATGGTATCAGCCGTTTCGCTACTCTGTATTCCTATCAGGTTGCAAACCCCCCGTCCACAGCCTCGCAGCCAATCGCAACGGCTGCTCCGTGGCACGTGACCCGCGGACGTGCGCCAACTACCAATCAGGTTGCGGTGCGGGGCGCGGGGGCCTCTGGGAGATGTAGTTCGGCCCTTTTTGCTGCCGTCCTCTTCGGGTTATTATTCTACAGCGCTTTGTTTTTTTGAGCAATGCACATTTTACATCTTTCTGCGCTGTGTCCGCACTGTGTGTCTCTGTCCTGATGTGACTGTATGTTTCAGACCCTGAGTGCAGATACCAATGTGATGCTCTCTCTCTCTCACACACACACACACACAGCACTGGAGACAATGCGCATCGTATTGGAGGAGTCACCACGTTTTGCACAAAAATGCAACTGAAGAAAGGTTCAGGACAGTCCGCACTTCCAGGGGAGGGGGTTTTTTCCCCCTCTCCCACCCCCCAGTGCCCATCTAAAAGCAATTCAATTGAAAATTTAAATTTCAGATTGAAAATTCAGTTTCACGATCCCCCAAAAATACACAGTGAATTAATTCGCTTTGCAGTACATTCTGTGAAACGCTTTGAGACGTCTCAACAACCTGATAAATGCAATAATTATTATCATTATTATAAACGGTTTAAACGTTTGTGTGAGAGGAGTTAAATGATAACTGATGTCGTGAATTTCATATCGACCTAATTTTAGCACCAGAAATGGTTATTCTTAACATGGGTTTAGGTAATTCACTGGGGATCGTACTGGTTTGAATTAAAGGCGACTTCACCTCAATTTATACATTATATTCTGTGAAGCGCTTTGAGACGTCTTGAAGACGTGTTAAGGCGCTATATCAAATGCAAGGATTATTATTATTCATTTAAATTCATGTACTTCAAATTTAATCTGAAAAAATGACTTGTTGACAACTGGTAGTTATGAAGTCGATGCATCTGATACCTTATCAAATGTTTGAGGTTTGACAGAGGGTTATGAATGTTTCTGAATATATTTAATAAATAACATTCATTTTTATTTGATGGTTGAAGATATGGCTTGATCTAAATCTAAACTGTTTTGTTTTGCCTTAGATTGCAAATGATTACAATGAGGAACAAGTGAATTCTACATTAATTTTATATTCACTTTTAAGTGTATATATTTTAAGAGGTGTTTGGGTTTTCTTCCTCTTGGGGTATATCTGAACTGTTTTTTTGTTAAGTCAAATTAATGTAAAATAAAGCTATCAACTGTGAGTTGTGCTGCATTTTATATCATAGCAAACAATACCAAGATAAATTATGACTTTTAACACGCCAAATCTCAAATCCATTTTATATTAGGTGTGACTGCTCTCCAACGGATAAACAACCTGCTGGGAGGATTGTGGTCTCTCACATACTGTTTGCTTTTTAACAGCTAAGCTGTTCTCATGGCAATTTAGGAGATTATACGAACGGTGAATTCTTAGATAAATAAATTCATCATTTTTGTTAAAGAATGAATAGTGTCTTTGATTTTGGAGAACTAATTATTCACAGTATATCGTTTGTTAACTCCAGCAGTTATCCCAACGCACACTCTGGGCTCCCCCCACCCCCCAAGCCTTGGCTCTTGCCAACCTGTGCCTAATACTCTCTGGAATTAGGTAAGTAGGGGGTGGCATCCCTCCAGAAAGAGAGAGAGAGAGAGCGCATTCCATTCCAACAATCTCTCACTGGGATTTCCAGCTGTAGGTGGGAGGCCTGGAATTCTCAGTTTGGTTTGGAGACTCTTAAGCACGGTGATGGGTTTCCGCACGTGTCAGACACCCACCCGACTGACCAAAAAAAGAGCGGAGGGAGGGGTCCTACTCATTTTCCTGCTTCCCCCTCCCCCTCCTGCTCAGCAGACTTGGGCCTGACTTCAACAACTGTACCCACATGTTTGAACTCGCTCCCTCCATTCTTCTGTCTAGTCCTTTCTCTTTAAGTCTTTAAATCCCACCTAAACAACTACCTCTTTGGCCACCCCTTGGCTCACCTCCTCCCTTACTTGACATTTGACACCATCTCTATGAGGCTCTGAGATGTTATCTTATTATTGCAAAGGGCTCAGTGTAAATGCGAGTTATTGTTATTGCAGAAATAGCTGTGCGAAAAGTACGAAGGTCTGATGAAAAACTAACACTGAAAGAAATCTGCACAACTAACAAATGCAAAGACAGATATAAGACAGCACTTAGTACTGAGAAATATCAGGGTTTTGGTAAGAAAATAATAATAATCCTTTGCATTTGCTATTGTGCCTTATCAAGTCTTCGAGACGTCTCAAAGTGCTTCACAGAATACACTGTGAATTGAATTGACTGTATATTTTGTGGGCGAAACGCAGCAGCCAATTGCGCACAGCAGCGTCCCACAAACAGCCGTGGATTGAGTGACCAAATTTTTTTAAGGAATTATTACCCCCGGAAAAGCAATCCGCAAATCAACTAACAAGCGGGTTCTTTCTTCCCACTCGGTACACCCTCAATACCTCCATCTTGTGGCCATTACTTAACTTTATTTTACTACAGAAATTAAATGCAATTTTTAAATCACATAAGCAATGAAAAGTAATGATAATCAAATGTGTTTGCACACATAGCCGTTACTTTTAAGCAGGGCACAGGCTTTCAGAGACATATGTAGCTTTGTAATCCATTTCTTCAACAATCCATAAGTTAAATACGGAATTAATATTTTGGGGACGCAAATACTGTGCAGATGTTCTTTAAGTTGTTCTATTGTATTGTTCTAAACAATATATTACAATTCTACCATAGAGTTATACTATCCAATGATACCATAATACACTTCTATTTCCTTTCCGTATTATCCTGCAGCTATTTCATACCGTTGTACGCATACACATTATTATTTATCCAATATAGTTCATGTTGATTCAATAGAGTTTCTTCACTGCATCAACACAACCTATTGCGCGCAATTGGCTGCCATGTTTCACCAATAAAATATACAGTCAAATCACTTTACAGTGTATCCTGTGAAGCGCTTTGAGACGTCTCGAAGGCGCTGTATCAAATACAGGGATTATTAGAAGTAAACAGGTAAACAAAGGCGTGTGGAGTAAGGAAACTTGCCTAACGTGGATTGAGTGACCAAATTATTATTATTTATTTTAAAGGATTTTAGACACATTTAGTTTAGTTCAAGGTTTCCCTCTAGTGTTTCAAATGGAATTTACAAGCAATATCAAGCAATGCCAAATTTATGGAAGAAATCTCCATCTGGGTCTAGATTTACTCCGTTTACATAAGATTCCAGTTCTTATACCATAAGATCTTGTGTCCCTTCCTCCCATTGTGGTTTTCATCCCTAAAGCTGTTCTCCTTTATCCCTCACTCCGTTACACGTCCACAGTATTAATTATTGAGACTGAAACGTCATTTTCAATGACGACAGCTCTCCCTTAGCATCGCACTGGGGTGTCAGCCTAGATTATGCAGTATGTGAATAGTAATAAATAATTAAGGGAATTCAGTGAAATCACGTGTTAGGAACACAATCAGGAGGTCAGTGTCTCAGCCCTCTCCTTATCTACCCAACTCTACAAACAAGAAACTAAAAGACACCATGAAAGCAGCTAAAATAATACTAAGGCAGTTTGTGTCCACATTTATCACAAAACTGTGCTACGTTATTACATAATGTGTTTTTTTAGATAAAGCTTGCTGTTTTCTTTCCATTTTTGTTTACAATGCAAATGGAGGTGATACCATATACTTAAGTGATATATGTTAATGAAGCCAAGTTTACAACGCAAGAAATAGCTTGTGCACACTGAATAAACAATGAGGCCATATGCCAAAGTCATTTATCATTGTGTAGGTGAAGTTTGTGTAGAGCACACTCAGCGGGTCTAACAATTTATGTTAGTTTTATACTACATGATATTATTGTGGCAAGTTTTACTGTTTAGTGAGGGTGTATCTGGAGGTTTATAGTAAGAAAATAATTACCATATTAACAGATAATTATTTGGGAGGACAAGTTTGCAGGGATATGAGGAGAGAGCAGGGGGTTGATCAGGGCTATGGGGAGAGGGCGGGGGAGTGGGGTTGATTTGGAAGCTCTTTTCAAAGAGCAGCACAGACACGATGGGCCGAATGGCCTCCTTCTGTGCTGTGTAATTTTATTATTCTATGATTCTATTAGTTGGATAGCAGTTTGGGATACATCCTGTAGTAGAATCTTGTAGCATAGTGGTTAGAGCTCTCGCCTCGCAAGCGTGAAAAAAAATTCCATTTATATAGCGCCCTTCAAGTGGGGTAGAGTCCCAGATCTGGGTTTGATTCCCGGGCAGAGCGAAACCTTAATTCAATGGCTCAGAAAACAGGAGCCTTGTGATCGTATATCAATCGCTGCTCTCTCAGTGAGACTGAATGGATTCTGCCTGATCGCTCTTCTGTAGTTCCTGTATTCCAGAACGAGCTTCAAATACAAGAAGGTGAAAAACACTTGAAAAACGTTTTCTGTTCCTTTGTCTGAAAAGCGCAATAATGACACATCGCTAGCTCATTTTGGCAAAGGAACTATTTGGGCTGATTCAAAGGATTTGCCATCTCTTTGTTATTAGATTGGTCGACATTCGGCTGTGTCTCGTCACTCAAATGGCAAGAGCACCTTACATTATCGGTGCAAGATGTAAGAAATGTGTAGGAAGAAACAGTTTACAAAATAAGGTCTTATCTCACTTGCAAGACTAAGCTGCTACTTGTATATGTGTTACGTCCCTGCCTGCTAGTTAATTGAGTGCTAAGCCATTGCAGAACTGGATGACATTGGGGAAAGTCTGTAGCTGTGTTATTGCTGCTGCCAATTGGCAAAGGTCATTTTCATATTTTTCTTTCATTTCTACAGATGGGGATAAATTATGTTGCAGTATTACTGAGAGACAATTTGTGGTGCCATATGATTCCTGGAGCTCTGACCATATTTCCAATGAGAGATTTATGTGTGTGTTTTTTTCTCTTTCTCTTTTCCACACCACACCCCCTCCTAACTAAAGGTGACAAATGAGAGGTTGATGCTCACATCATTTTACTCCATCTTTTGATTTCTTTTATTTTTACGAACACAAAACACAGTCACTACCCTTTACATTATATTCTGTGAAGCACTTTGAGACATCTCAAAGACGTGATAGGGCATTATATCAAATGCAAGGATTATTATAAATGGATTATTGTCAACTTCTGAGTGGAGTTACATGGTATTAACCCTCTGCTGGGAATGAATTATTCTATTTACATCACTTTATTAAAATTTATCATTTAAGTTAGATGTCTTGTTTTAATTTTAATGGTGAATTAGTGAGCGTCTTTAAACTTTAACATAAGATTCAGCTGCTTCTCATCTCTCTCCAGAGATAGTTAGTTCTCTGCTTGAAATGGCTTTTACTGAAGTCAGGATTGTGGATACATAAAGTAAAATATAATATTTTGACCACTGATCAATGTTAGTATGTATAGTTTTGTGACTGATTAAAAGTAGCACATTTTGAATGTGTCACATACAATAAATGTGTTTATAATTAACATGGATGAAATCTTCTGAAACATTAATGGGGAATCGCCTCTTCAGAAATGTTCTCAAAATAGTGATATCAAAATAAATAATCAGAAAGGTAGTTTAGGTTCCTAGTTGTGTGACTCGTTGTCTCTGTGTACAGTATATTTAACTGGTGAGTATTGGAATTGCAGCTCGGTAGCTACAGAGTAGTAAGAATATCTGAAGAATTTTCAAACAATGTCTTGTGTAGAATTATACACTCAATGAACAAGCCATTAGAGGGGAAAATTCCACCTCGTCTAGATTTACTTTGTTTCTGGGTTTAATTCTCTGCCGTGTTTAACATCTTATATATCTCCATAAGGTACCCTCCCCTTTCAGACATTTCTTTGTGAGGTTTGAAGAGCCGTAACTTACCCACTTGTTCTCCTTCGCTATTCCTTCTAGCCCTATTTGTCTTCCTATATGCAGCAACTTGCATTTGTCTACGATAGAGAATTTCATTTCTCATGATCAGTCCAGATGCTTACCATGTCAAATTCATCTGGTAAGATCTAGGCTGTCTCCTCTGGTTCTACAGTTCCCCTGTAAGTTAATAATAATCCTCGTATTTGATACAGTGCCTTATCACGTCTTCGAGACGTCTCAAAGCGCTTCACAGAATATACTGTAAAGTGGATTGACTGTGTATTTTGTGGGAGAAACACGGCAGCCAATTGCACACAGCAATGTCGCCACAAAGTCGTGGATTGAGTATTTTTTATATATATACATGCAATGCTCCATCATATAACATATAGGATACATTTTATTGAAAGTGAATTACGTATTATAAAATCTAGTTCAGAGATGCTATAATCACCAATTATACCGCTGTAATTGCCAATTATATCATGCGGAAGGTCTAAGTATCAAAATAGACCTGTTTCCTTTCCATCAGAGGTGGTTAAATATTTATTTACCACATCATTCCAAATAATAAATAATAATCCTTGCATTTGATATAGCACCTTATCACATTGTTGAGATGTCTCAAAGCGTTTCACAGAATATACTGTAAAGTGGAGTGACTGTATATTTTATGGGCGAAATAAGTTTCAGAAAAGACAGTTGGCGGCTTTCCAAAGAGTTACAAAAGGAAATGTATTTTCTGAGTGCCTTCCTGAACAACTCTCTCTCTCTCTCTCTCTCTCTCACAGGAGACAAACACAAGATGGTGTAATGGGGAGAACAAGGCCGGTGAAGGGTTTACTACTAATTGTCTTGGAAATACGTGTTCAAAGGGAATTTAATCCCTTGATGAGATCATTGTTTTCTGTCTTGAGACAAATAAGAATATGTTTATTATGTTCATTATGGACATTATGAAATAAGAGTAGAATGAACTATGTTATGCATTGATGGTATAAAAATAATCCTTGCATTTGATACAGCACCTTATCATATCATTGAGACGTCTCAAAGCGCTTCACAGAATATACTGCAAATTGAATGACTATATTTTGTGGGTGGAAATATCCAAATAACATATAGCTACTGGACAAGACAAGCAAGTCAGTTTGGTTCTCATAAAAGCACACTGAAAGCGTTAGAAAGGTGTGAAACGTAGGATATTAGCTTTCAATCTATCCTACTTGTGTAGATTTTGGTGGGGCAAGTTTTAAAAATGTACGTGTAATCTGGAAGAATAAAGAACAAGATAAATCAATCTCACTTTATCTTGAGAAGATAATAAATCAACCAGGCTTATTGATTTATCTTGAATCAATAAATAATTCCAAGAATGATAGAATTAACATGACCCGATTCAATAGATCTGAATCTTAAGAGAGAGAAACCACATTATTCTCAGTCAGAACCCCAATGCGTTGCAAATCTGCAAAGGACTTGGCTCCAATGGTGTGTGTTTTTTTAGATTAAATTGTCCGCGTTTTTAATTCCACGTTTGCATTTCATGTTTTTTGACAAAGGCATTTTTTAAAGGCATTATTAATAATAATTCTCACCTGTGCTTTGCTGACCCATCGGATTGCCCACCTGTGTTGGATGCTCTCTCTCCCTGTCTCTCTGGGTGTGTTCCCCAAGCCTTGGCTTGCGATGCTTGGAACTGATTCACCGTAAATAAGGGGGGAACAGATGATGGGTGGGAATGCGGTTGATTGGCTTTGGAAGATCTCTTTACACCCCCACAAATTCTTAAAACAAATTAGTAAGAAAAATACCTGCCTAAAAAAAACAGCATTTACATTTCATTCGGAAGCTGTACACACAATGAACATCTCTTACAATATTCGAGGGTTTCAATTACACTTTCCATTTTCACATTTAAAATATACACTTATTGATGTATTTATTGTCTAACAATTCATCTCTCTCCAAAACAGCAAAAAATCGCAGATTGTACTTTGCTGTTGATGTTGGACCAGACGATGGTCACAGATTCACAGAGCAGAGATGTATTACTGACTGTTCGTGACACATTTATGTAACGGTTTCAAACTTAATTCGTTTAAAATACTACAACCCGTAGTATTCCTGGATGAAGGACTTGTGGAAGGGGGGTATGTGGGTGTTTATTGCCGTTATGGTGAGGTTGGGGGAGAGTGGGAGAGAGAGAGAGAGAGAGAAACGCTTCACCAATCATTTCTGCAGCGGATCACACAGCAATTGACGATTGCCGTTTGTATAATAAATCTCTGGTAGTGAGACAGTTCTCACTGTGTTCTGCCGAAGCCATTTGTTAAATGGGTCAAAGAAAAATCCACACCATTTTTTAAAATCAGATTTGTCAAAACGTTACTGAATATTTAATCTATGCGGGAAAATAGTGGCAGTCACAGACAGACAGACAGACAGACAGACAGACAGACAGACAGACAGGAGAAGTACTGGGGTTGGTATTTATTTAGCATTAGATTTTAGCGGCTGCAGTTTCAGACTGGTTGGTGGGTTATATAATACAACACATCTAATAACATACACTATATTTATCCACACGAAGCCGGAGAGAGAGAAAAAAAATTATATTTAAAAGAAAACGTTATCCTTAAACACAAAGTTGATGATTTAATGATAATTAGTAACGCAATAATATGTATTTAGCGCTGGAGTTCAGCTGTTGGTTTCACTCACTCACTCACTCACTCACTCACTCACCGGGAGGTTCCCTATCAGATCAGCACCACCGGGAGGAGATGGGACCTGGAGGGCTGAGCACATGGATGTCACTTGTTTGGCTTTATTTGTACAATCTGTTTCCTTCACGTGTTACGGTGGAAGGGAAACTGACCGCAAAATGCCAAAAATCCACAGTAAGAAAGGGGTTTCGTGTGTAACGCACAGCGTTCACTCACAGCGTTCAACCGGATTGTGCGATTCCGATTTTTGTTCAATAAATCAACTTTGTGTCTAAAGATAAAGATGTTTTCAGTATGAAAATTCTCTCCGGCTTTTGTGGATATATATATTTATAGCTGGAGTTGTTTTTATATATCCAATAAAACGACTTTCAAATATATATAAAATTGAAAGTTATTTTATTGGATAGACGAGTTCCTTAAAGTATTTCTGCCTGATTGATTTATAAATCCGGCCCATTTGAAATGCATTTCTATGTATACCTGCAATTTATTTATCGTGTTCAACGTTTACAATAAAGACTTGAATTCCAGTAGGTTAAACATATTGAATAGAATTAAAGCAAACGAGTGGCTGGAGGGAAATTACACAAAGTTTGGAATTTCTAATATTCGGGTTATAATATTGCTATAATCAATTGGTAAACGATTATTATAACCCGTATCGATCCAGAAATGCTACTGCAATCCTCAATCAAAAATAATGTACATTACAGGGTATTTAATCGAATAATGTTCACATCTATGTATATACAGTATATTGCAATGTTAGAAAATGCAGAAGGAAAAACACATATTTAAAGTTGAAATGAATCTATTTTAAAAGCAAATATCGTTTATAAATTTAGACTGATTTATACTGTGTTCATTTAATTGATTACATTTCAAATGAAAATATTTCTCGCGTTGCAAGTCCCACTTTTAGTTCAACACAATTTGAACAAAAATTGCTAAATGCTCATCTGGAATGAATTATTTATTACAGGTAATTTGTCCACATCAATAACAGTTCAACTTGAATATCTGGATGTATAAATAAAACCATGATCTTGTTAAAACAAAATCCGAAATTTCCAACAAAATATATATACATACCTTGTAAAAGATGATATCCAAATTTCCCTCATTACAATTGGGATTTTTAGCTCGGTTTTCGTCAACATCTTCATCCATTACCAGAGCAAATCCACTCTGACATAAATTTTATTGCAACAGCTTTCAGCCAACGTCAAAATATGACTTAAGTAGAGAATTTTTCAATGAGATTATACAAGCACTAAATTACTCCTGGTCTCTCAGTGTGTTCCAGGGTTGAAAGTGTCCAGTAATAATAATAATCCTTGCATTTGATATAGTTTGTGGCTTTGACCCACAAAATATACAGTCAATTGACTTCACGGTATATTGTGTGAAGCACTTTGAGAAGTCTCAAAGACGTGATAAGGCACTAAATCAAATTCAAGGATTATTATATATCGCCGTATCACTTCACTCATAAAACTAAAACAAAAAACGGTCTCATAGTGTTTTAATATTTTATTTTATACCTTACAAACTGGCAGAAACAAACAGCATCTGTGACATTCACTTCACAGACTGGAACCCAATGAAAAGTGTCTCCATATACAAACACAACCATATCTTTACAGAATAAACAAAATTTACATGATCAAAAGCCTCAAAAAGAGTTATATGATAAAATAAACCCTTTAGGAAACCCATCATAATATACTTTTCTCTTGGAGGGTGATTTTGTTAATGAAACGTGGCATCAAAACTGCAGTAATGGTAATGAATTGTGCAAGAAAAAGAACTGCTAAAATCTACATTTCTTTTTTATATAAAAAAAAGTGAATGAATGCAGTAAAATTCACTCTATAAATCTGAGCTATTGGAGGTGGGGGGAATGTAAGGCAAGATGTCATTGATCTAACCGTTTAAAATAATCTATACATGTGATTATAAATTACTGGATTAACTGTAAAATTAGCCATTTAGGATTTAAATAGAAGCATCCTGTACAGACACAAATTTACATTTTTCATTTCAAATGAAGTACACACACACACTATACAAATGAACGCACTCCTGCCTCAACTGGACTGTATCTAATGAGTGAATGATACACAAACACTGACTGATTTATTAGAACACCAGCCCCTGGGATTATAAGGTATTTACAATGATGATCATCATCACAACCCCAAAGAGAAGTCGCTTTGTTTTGGCACCAACCATTGCTAATAATACTTATATTTGATACAGTGCCTTATCACGTCTTCGAGACGTCTCAAAGCACTTCACAAGATACACTGTAAAGTGAATTGACTTTATTTTTTGTGGGCAAAATGTAAGACTGAGCTCTTTTTTTAATTTAAGATTTGGCACTTCCAGGAACAGCAGCTTGTGTGTGTGATGGACTTCCCGCCTCCCCAACCACTGGCCTAGCTCAGTCTATCTGGGGTCCTTCTCTTGGGTGAGGGTCTCTGTTTGTTTGTCTTGTCGAGGGGGCTCTTCAGTCTCATTTGTTTTAATTCCTCTGTCCTCAGGAGTCTGTTTGCCTGGACACCTGTGTCTGAGGTTTGAGGTCTATACTCTACATGTCTTTGTGGGTTGGTTTCAGTTGGGTCAGTCTGTCTGAGGGCACCTGTCTGACTTTCTCTCCCTCTCTCAGGTTAGTTGGATGTCTTAGTCTATCTGTCTGTCTCAGGATCTCGAGCTGTCTGTCTGTCAGTCGTATAGTTTGGGGAAAGCCATATCTGGCAGGGCCTTGGGTTGTCTGTGTTTCTCTGACCGTGAGTATGGTGGCTTCAGTCTATCTCAGGATTTCTGTCTGCCTGACCAGGGGGTTCTCGGCTGTCTGGCTGTTCACATCTCAGACCCTGCAGGTTGAGGGGTGTCAGGACAAATATCTTAGCCTCCATCCGTCTGACTATCTGTGGGTTAACCAAGTGTCTGGGGCTCAATCTGTGTGTCTTATCAGTCTGTCTGTCTGACAAGTGTCTTGTGTGTTTGGCCAGTGTCTGTCTGTCAGTGTGACAAGTATCTGTGGGTCAGTCTGCGTGTCTGTCTGGTCAGTAGCTCAGGGTCAGTCTCTCTCTGTGTGTGACAAGTATCTGAGGGTCTGTGTGTCTGTCTATATGTGGTGTGTATGTGTGTCTGTCTGTCTCTGTCTGTGTGTGTGTGTGTCTGTCTGTGTGTGTGTCTGTCTGTGTGTCTGCGTGTGTCTGTCTGTGTGTCTGTCTGTGTGTCTGTGTGTGTCTGTCTCTGTGTGTGTCTGTCTCTGTGTGTGTGTCTGTCTGTCTGTGTCTGTGTGTGTGTCTGTCTGTGTGTGTGTCTGTCTGTGTCTGTCTCTCTGTCTGTCTGTGTGACTGTCTGTGTGTGTGTCTGTCTCTGTGTCTGTCTGTCTGTGTGTGTCTGTCTCTGTGTGTGTCTGTGTCTGTGTCTGTGTGTGTGTCTGTCTGTGTGTCTGTGTCTGTCTCTGTGTGTCTGTCTCTGTGTGTGTCTGTGTCTGTGTGTGTGTCTGTCTGTGTGTCTCTATCTGTCTCTGTGTCTCTGTGTGTGTCTGTCTGTGTGTGTGTCTGTGTGTCTGTCTGTCTGTGTCTGTCTGTCTGTGTGTCTGTCTCTGTGTCTGTGTGTGTCTGTGTCTGTCTGTCTGTCTGTCTGTCTGTCTCTGTGTGTGTGTGTGTCCCCGGGCTCTAGGCGTGCGAGTAGAAGCCATAGAAGGCCAGCTCCTTGGCGCAGTGCTTGTCACAGTCGCGGGAGGTCAGCGCCTCGCTCTTGAGGGCGGCGGCGGTGTCCGAGGCCGAGGCGGGGGCCTGGGCCGTGTCGGCCGAGATGCGCCTCCTCTTCACCTGCTCGTACAGCGCCGCCGAGTCCGCGGCTTCCAGGGCCTTGATGGAAGGAGGAGCCGCCACCTCGATCCACCCCGAGCCCGAGCCCGAGTCCGGCAGCTCCTTCCCTTTGCCGTCCTCGGCGGCGGCGGCGGCGGAGGTGAGGGCCGAGCGCTCGGGGCCGAGAGCCTCCGCCGCCGCCGCCGCCTCCTCCAGCAGGTAAGCGTTACCCGAGGCCGAGGCCCCGCGGGCCCAGGACAGCCCCGAGCTGGATTTACAGGAGTACTGAGCGGCCGAGGAGGCGGCGGCGGCGTGGACCCCGCGGGCAGCCCAGCCGGCCGGGTCAGGGTAGTAACCGAGCGGCGGGCGGGAGGAGGACGAGGAGGAGGACGAGGAGGAGGAAGGCGGCGGCGGGGGCGGGGGGGGCGGCGGCGGGAGCGGCAGCGACTTGACGCCGTACGACAAGATGGCGGCGTTTCCCGCCGAGAAGTCGGGGTCGTAGGGCGAAGGGAAGTCCAGGCGGTGCGGCCCCGAGTGCGGCGGCGGCTGCAGCGGCGTCACGAACCAGCGCTGCGGGGAGGGCGAGGGGGACGGCGCGGGCTCCTCGGGCGGCGGGGGCTGCGGGGACAGGAGACCCCCCGCGCTGCCGTGCGGCCCCGGGTGGAACCGGGCCTTGGCGTAGCTGCTGACGAACTGCTCCTGTAGGAAGGACTGGGCCACCGCGTAGCGGCCCATCACCCCCACCCCCACCCCCACACCGCCCCGCGGGCACTCACTGGGCGACGGCGTCAGGCGGTCAACGTCGCAGCCCGTGTAGATCCTGTGGGGGGGGCGGTGGGGGGGGGCACAGAGAGAGGGAGACACGGGGGGGGGAGTGAGACACAGAGAGAGGGGGAGTGAGACACAGAGAGAGGGGGAGTGAGACACACAGAGAGGGGGGGGAGAGGGGGAGTGAGACACAGAGAGGGGGGAGAGGGGGAGTGAGACACACAGAGGGGGGAGAGGGGGAGTGAGACACACAGAGGGGGGAGAGGGGGAGTGAGACACACAGAGCGGGGAGAGGGGGAGTGAGACACACAGAGGGGGGAGAGGGGGAGTGAGACACACAGAGGGGGGAGAGGGGGAGTGAGACACACAGAGGGGGGAGAGGGGGAGTGAGACACACAGAGGGGGGAGAGGGGGAGTGAGACACACAGAAGGGGGAGAGGGGAAGTGAGACACACAGAGAGGCGGGGAGGGTGAGTGAGACACGGAGAGGGGGAGTGAGATACAGAGTGGGGGGGGGGAGAGGGGGAGTGAGAGAGACATAGAGGGGAGTGAGAGAGACAGAGAGGGGGAGTGAGAGAGACAGAGAGGGGGGAGTGAGAGAGACACAGAGAGGGGGGAGTGAGAGACACAGGGGGAGTGTGAGAGCGGGGAAGGGAGAGAGAGTGACAGATGAAGAGAGAGACAGTCAGAGAGTGCGATATGACGTGATAAGCTGCTGTATCAGATGTAAGGATTATTATTGTTATCACGTCTTCGAGACATTTCAAAGCGCTTCACAGAATAAAGTGTAGTGACTGTTTTCTGTGACAGAAACGCGGCAGCCAATTGCGCACAGCGACATCCCACAAAGTCGTGGATTGAGTGACCAAATTATTATTTATTTTGAGGAATGACTACGCTGGGATAATAATAATAATCCTTGCATTTGATGTAGCATCTTATCGCGTCGTTGAGATGTCTCAAAGCGCTTCACTGGATGCACTGTAACGTGAATCGACAGAATTCCACTGGTGGGGACTGACCCTAAAGGTACTTTTATCCCAAATCCACAAAACATTAAACACGGATTTCTGCGGACAAAGCAATGCCTCGTGTATTTGTTCCAATCCTCACTTTGATTAACGTAATATGAAAGCAGGAAATCTAATAAGTAGTAATAATAATTACCTTTGCATTTGATACATCAACAACAAACTATATCAGTACAGCGCCTTTCTCATCAGGAGGGCGTCCCAAGGTGCTGGACAGTCAGGGATTTGGACCTGAGCTGGGGGTTGGGATCAGGAGGGTAGGGGTAGGAGGGTGACCGAAGGCGCAGTTGAAGAGGAGGGTCTTGAGGGGGAGGGAGGGAAGGCAAAAGGATTGTGGAATGGAGTTTCCAAAGGGTAGGGGTCAGTGAGGCTGGAGGTCTGACCACCGATGGTGGAGTGGGTCGGGCAGGGGATGTGGAGCAGGCCGGAGCCCGTTGAGTGGAGGGAGAGGGCAGGTCAGTATGGGGTTAGCAGGGCATAGAGGTAGGAGGGGGCAATGCCATTAAGGGCTTTGAAGACAAGGACGAGGATTTTGAATTCTATCCTCTGAGGGATGGGCAGCCAGTGGAACCGGGCGAGGGTGGGGGTGATGGGGTCATGGAGCCTGGTGTGGGAGAGGATATGGCTGCAGAGTTCTGGATGATCTGCAGCTTGTGGAGGAGGAGTTGGAAGGTGACAAATTAGCGTTGTCGAGCTCAGCCCCACACCACCACCTCTGACCCTGGTCCACCTCAGATCCCCATTCCACCTCACCTTCACCCCATCCCAAAGCTTCTCAGACTCTGAATTCCTGATCCCAAGGCACCTCAGTCCCCCACCCTCCACTCCTGATCATATGCCACTTACAACTTGGAACCCTTTCAAAGGTAATGGTTATCGACTGTACGTACTGTACATTGTAGGCAAAGGTATCAGCCAATTTGGATACATAAAAAGCAAATGAAGTGAATGACCAATTTATCTGGAGGGTTTTTTTTGGGTCGAGGGGGGACAAAAGAGTGTTTTGAATGGTGCCATGAAATCGTCCACATCCTTCCAATGAAGCAGAAGGACCCTCCGTTTTAGTGGTTCATCTGAAGGCGAGCGCTTATAACAATGCAGCACTCACCAACCATTCTGGCCGAGACTTTGAGTTCAAAGTCCCCGTGTGAGGCTTGAACTCAGCCTCTGACTCAGGTGAGAATTCCACAACTGAAGCCAATCTGAGACTCATTACACCTCAGCACATACCTGATCCACTGCAGCACTGGAGATAGTGTTACATTGCTAAAGGTGCTGTCCTTAGAAAGTGACACTCAAACCAAGGTCCTGCCTGTCTGCCTCCCTGCTCCAATACACATCCATACAGAATTCCTGATCCACTTTACATCAGCACCAACATTGCAAATCACAGACTGTATCCAGTTCAAGTCCAATTTGCATCTGACAGACAATCTTCCAAATTCAATTCCAATAAAATAATATCTGGAAATAATAATAATAATCCTTGCATCTGATATAACACCTTACCACGTTTTCGAGATGTCTCAAAGCGCTTTACCTAATATATTGTAAAGTGAATTATTTTGTGGGCAGAACGCGGCAGCCAGTTGCACGGAGCCGTGTCCCACAAACAGTCGTGGATTAAGTGACTAAATTTTTTTGAGCGGATTATTATACTCGGAAAAGCATTCCGCTCATCGACTAACAAGCAGGTTCCTACATACTGCTCGGTAAAGAGGCATGTGGAGTAAGGAAACTTGCCCAACTTTTCGCCTGGTAATTGAAACCAGGTCCTCTCGCCTGCGAGGCGAGTGCTCTAACCACTGAGCTACAGGACTGTACATCACCACCAACAATGCATGTCACAGTTCAAGTCCAATTTGCATCTGACAGACAATCTCACAATTTCAGTTCCAGTAAATAAAAATCTTGAAATACAGCAATAATAGCATACAGTTCACAACTCCCATCAGTTCTGTGGGGATTCCACCTTCTGGAATGTGCCATGCTATGATAAATGGCCAATGTTATCGGAAGTCAATGACCGCTAATTGATTTAAAGAGAAAAGCCAGGAATAATTGGAAAAACTAGAAATAAAATGGGAATCTGAAATAAAAATGGAAACTAGCAATTCACAGCATCTGAAAGAGGCATATAAGTACTTTTGGGTAGTTAAGGTTTCTTAATGCCCTTGTGAGTCAGCCTAGCACTGTGGTAGCATTCTCAACTCCGAGTCAGAAGGTTGTGAGTTCAAGCCCCACGTCAGGACTTGGAGTCACATGGACTAAGGTGATGCTCCATACTCCAGTGCAGCGCTGGGGGGATGGAGGTTGCATTGTCAGAGGAGCCGTGCTTTAGATGAACAACAACAAGATTTCATTTATAGAGCGCCTTTCACGTCGGGAGGACGTCCCGAGGCGCTGTACAGTTGGGTCAGGACCCGAGCATTGGGGGGAAATGGTCAGGGGGAGGGGAGGGAAAGATGAGACATTAAACCAAGGTCCAGTCTGCCTGTTCAGGTGGACTTTAAAGATCCTTTTCGAAAAGAGAAGGGAGTTTCTCTCTCCTGGTGTCCCAGCCAACAATCCCCCAAATAAAATTGGTCATTTGTTCGTGACTGTTTGTGCAGAATTCGGCTGCTGCCTTTTGCCCACAAAATACAGTCAATCATCTTTACAGTATATCTGTGAAGCTCTTCGAGGCGTCTCAATGAAGTGATAATAATAATCCTTGCATTTGATATAGCGCCATATCATGTCTGCACTGCAGGGCTATACCTTATCGAGGATTGAGCGTCATTTTACCAACATGTTAACCCATCTGTCTCTTTCAGCTGCTAATTGATCTGCATTTCTCTCTACTGCGGATTTCCATTGTTTCTTTCGTTTCCCTAATAGATTTCACATTTACTTCTAATCAGGTCAGTCTTGTAATAAAAAAAACGTTACCCTAAAGACATAAAAAAAAGATAAGCTATTTGGAATCCTGGTCCCCTTGCCACCTAACGTGATACAAAACTCAAATGATCTAACACCTTGATTTAAAATGTAATACTAATAACAATCCTTGCAGTTGATATAGCTCCTTACCTTGACTTTGTGATGTCTCAGAGCGCTTTGCGGATATACTGTAAGCTGAATTGACTATATATTTTGTGGGCGAAATTTATAACACTTATAATTGTGAATAATCCTTGCATTCACGATTATAAGTATACATTGTAAGTTCCATATAAAAAACAATTGTAATAATTCACAAAGTGCTGAGGTACCAAATGCCATGTTATTTTACCAGTTCAAATTCGAGAAGAAATGGTCTTAACATTTATTATAAAGTTCCACATCAAAAACATAGGATCGAGCAAATATAAAATTGCTTATTATATAGATATACTTAATTGAAAAAAAAAAACACTTACGTATCGTAGTTATCTCTAAACCCTTTGGCAAAGGGATTATGATCTATTTTCAACTGTGTAATCTGCAAAATAAATAAAATAGTTAGATTTCAACGGGGAATGTGTATGTTTGAAAGGCATCAGTCCCCAAGATTTCTCCTGAACCAAACCTGTACACATAGACACAGACAACAAAACACACGCGCACACAGATAACTTACTGAAATATTAATGTGAATATCAAAGTCTAAAACGAACATCTCTGTGGTCACTCACTCCATACATAGAAGAGAAAGTTAAATAAGTAAAGTAATATATACGGTCTTGTCTTACCAATGATACTTTCAATGTATATCAAATTATTATTGGTAGTAATAGTATTGGCGATATTTTCCCACGGTGTTTTATATATATACACACACACACAGACACACACACAAACACGCAACATAACTGTTCAGAAATAAAATTTATTGAATGAAGCGTTTGATTCGAAGCCTTTTTTATAAATTAATTAAAGAAAAAGTAAATGGCAGATATTTTACGACGTTGATTAAAAAACCCCGTTTGATTTTAGTTTATGTTTTAAACTATTGTACATTTCAACCTAAATGGGAGACATTATAGAGGGACAAAGCCTCACAAACCTCGGGGTTATCCAAAGAGTGATATAAAAAAAATACACTTGTAATAAATAGCAATAACAACAATCAATGCAATTGGTTCGGCGCCTCATCGCGTCTTCGCGTTTAATTGTGTTACCACTTTAAATACTCATTCGAATAACAATGACTAATGAGGTGTAACGGTAACTCGCATCGCTGAGCCGTTGGATCTCTGGTGGAACAAACTCGCAAGACTATCAAAGTCAGTAAAACAGGGAGTATGATGGAGAGCTCACGTCTGTGTTCTGATACGCGGTGACTGCTATGAACTGAGTCTCCGGGAAGGAGAAGGTCTGGACTCTGCTCGGTTGGTTGGTGTCCTCCGCCCCATCTTCGTTCACCTCCACCACGTGTAGCCGAGGCTGGTACTTGTGTAGAGATTGTAATACAACCATCTGTCCAGGAAACCACACGGACAAGGCTTTACTGTGTGTGTGTGTGTGTCAGTGTCACACAGAGAGATAAATAAACCCACTTTGCCCACTGTATGTGCTGTCTATTGGAGCTGTGTCACTGTCTGTCGCTGGACATCACGACAACGGGAGCATTCGTGCACACACACTCCTCTTGTGCGAGTAAATACAAACACCCTTAAACTTCGCAGTTAACTGGTGAATGTGTATCTGTGCTTTTCAGAGGGGGGGAGGGGTTTGGGGAAGAATTACTGAGAGGCCCAGGTACCCACTTGGGATTCAAACCGTCGCCACATTGCCCATTACCTGCCCGTTGTTGTTCGATGCTCCTTTGTTGTTGGTCAATTTTAATTTCCCAAAAGAAATCTCTTGTCTCATCCAGTGAGCTCCTGTGTTGGGGGAGTCCGGGTGCATATAAATCCTGTTCCCTGTCGGAGACATCCAGAGATTCACAGCCCAGTTACTACTTATTATACAGCACAACCCCACTTTGCCCATTGCATATAGGACTCACCACCACCGACACACATCACATCGCAAAACACTGAATGGATTAAAAACACAGCAATTATCTGAATCATAAACAACTCTGAGAGGAGAGCGCGGATTTTATCGAAACTTAATCTGAATAATGAAATGGTTCCCGAATATAAATCTAAGTCTAACATAAACATAACTAAATGCTGGTGGGAGAATAACTTGCCTTGTACATTTGTATCAGCTTTCCCACAAGGAACCCATTTCCCTCCTTGGAATCGCCAGTGATTGGGATCAGCGAGGATTATATCCACAAATATATTGTAATGTGCCGTCGGGTCCAACCCGGAGATGTTGAAACTCAAAAACGGAAACATGCGCCTGAAACAGAAGATTATATACAGATTGATTCAAACTCAAACCATTTAGGTACAGGGGGTTAATGTGTCAGCTCATGGCGCACCGTAACTGCCTGACATTCTTGATATGTAGTGAGAATAATCCCGAAATCTAAATTCTTAATATTTAGTAGTAATAATTCCTGCAAAAATAATAATAATTCGGTCACTCAGTCCACCACTGTTTGTGGGAAAGCGCTTTGCGCAACTGACTGTTTCGCCCTCAAAATACAGTCAATTCACTTTACAGTACATTCTGTGAAGGGCTTTGAGACGTCTCAAAGGCGCTTTGTCAAATGTAAGGATTATTATTATTAATATTTATATTATTTTAACTCCTAGTATCCAGTCTGGTGTGTGAGTTCCAATGAAGAGAAGATGCATCAAATAGTATATCGTTAATAAACACTTGAAATACCATTTTCGATTGATTTATGTTGTGTTTTATTGTCGCTTTATTGCTGTAAACGCACACTTGTGAAACTCACAACATTTGCTCAAACGAATGACGAGTTTTATCGTTATAAGACAAGTCTTTACATACAACGGAAACGATTATTAAAACAAAACAGGTTAAATAAACGGGTTAACAAAATAAAATCGGGGTCAAAATATTCGGCCTTTAGAAACTGGTGGATCCGCATTCGCTAATTGAAGCTTCTCAAAGACACTCAGTTATTTGATTCTGCAAATTGTGTTTCCTTAAATAAAATATATGAATCTATTTACCAATTAATCATTGCCGCTTCCCATCCCCTGGTCCCCTGAGCGTGTTGTGTGTGTATATATATATATATATATATAGTGTGGGTGTGAGTGTGTGATCCATAAACTGTGAAAGTGTTTGGCTTTTGAGACAATGAGAGACAGACAGAGAGATCAGGTTTACTTACCTGCCTTGTTTAGTGATGATCATTTCCGTTTGATGTCTGTGAAATTTCAGCCAGAGGGGTCTGTTGCACAGATAGACCTGGGCTTTACCAGGGACCAGCCCGGGCTGGCCAGAGGAGAACTGGTAGAAAGGTCCTCCCTGGTAGCTGTGTCCATACTGTTGAGGGTAGGGGTAGCCTGAAGCCGGGTAGCCTTGGGGAGAGGAGTTGGAAAGGATGCTATTGTAGGCTCCATTGGTGATGACAGGATGGTGAGCCATGTACCTGCCGGGGCTGCTGATAGAGAAGGCTGGGTGTGCAGGTCCATGTTGGCCAGTGTAAGGGAACATGGCACTGGTGGGAGCAGCAGTCGGCTGGTGTGGCTGGTTGGCTTGTGACAGGAGATATCTGTCTGCCGCTGAGCCATCGAAAGTGTGACGAATTTCAGAGCCCTCGTCCAGCAGAGGAGAGAGCTTGCTTCTCTGCGCGTCCCCCGACGCCTCCTTGGAGTCAGAGAAATTGTCTGTGTCTGACTGATTGGTCATCCCCCTGGTGATCTTCTTCAGAGGTGAGCTTCTCTCCAGGTTCTCACTGGCCGAGATGATGGGATGATCATGCAGAGCGAGATCGCTGTTGGAATAAGCGCTGTTCACATTCAGAAATTTCTTGGAGAGCATTATAGAGGGAGATAAGCAATGCTCCAACTGCATATCTCAACCAGCAATCGCTTCCCTCTCCACAAACCCTCAAATAGCAGCAAATGCAAATAAACAAAACCGCCTTGAAAGCAATTCTTAAAACAGTCTCAGAAATGCTGGTAACTGGAGTTTCTCTCTCTCTCTCTCTCTCTCAGAGATTGGCCAATTGACACTTTGAGGCAGTAATAATAAAGCGCTCATTTTTTTGGATCTTCCCGGTTGCACAGCTAATGAAACGGCTCTTGTCATTGGTTATCCGCTGACAGTAATTTAATTAGACACACATTAATTAGGCTAATCACCTGAGTCCTAATGGAAAGTCATGGCAAATCGTGAGATGATCTCATTTTGGAGAGACAGGTTGGGTTGCATGTTGCTAACCAGGAACCTCTCCCTCCTCGAGCTCTGTGGACAGTCACAGCGAAGAAAGATCTCTCTCCAGTTACATTCAGCTAAACTGTGTGACTGTCAACACAAGGATTTCCTAAAGATTTGTTTTGCATTTAGCACAGGCAGTGTGTACAGTGTTGCCCATCCCCTGATCTGTAGATAGCAACTCAGTAAGACAGACAGCCCAGTTTTATAATACTAAACATGATTCCAAGCCACATACCTTCAAGGCGGATTTCACCAATTATCTCACTTTTATACAAGATGCGCCAAATGTCATTTTACTTAAATACTTAAGAAAACAATCTGCTTTAATAATTTGCCCAGAACAGAGAGCGATCTAATTGCTTCCCCCACATTGCAAGGTTCTAGTGGATGTCCCTTTTGAAATATTTAAGTACTTTTACCGAGGTCTTTGGAGCAATAGTTTAGCCTTTGAGACACACAAAAAATATCCAATGGGCCGGAAAAAGCGTAGGTTACACCTATCTAAAAGGAATGACCCACATTTCCCAATTTAATTTATTTTCTAAACCTTTATTCGCCCAATTGACTATTTAAGAAGTTTACACTGTGAACCGCACTAAACACTCGTGTGAGATGATGGCGATGATCATAATACTGTGAAAATCTTCAGAGATTTTGCCGTTAAATGTAATATTGATGGAATCACTGTTTTCAGCACAAGCGGAGACATTGGGATCTTATAAATATTAAGCAGATGTGAAGTTACTACTGAAAGGCTTATACACATAGCGAGTTACCAAAACATTTACAAATGTGCTCGGTTCACTTCCTTCCTAACGCTTTGGGAAAAGTATTTAGTGAACGAGGTTGTCCTCCCTGTCCTGCCCTGTCCTCCCTGCCCTGTCCTCCCTTGTCCTCCCTGTCCTGCCCCCCCTGCCCTGTCCTGCCTGTCCTGCCCTCCCTGCCCTGCCCTCCCTGCCCTGTCCTACCCTCCCTGTCCTGTCCTCCCTGTCCTGTCCTCCCTGCCCTGCCTGCCCTCCCTGTCCTCCCTGTCCTGCCCTCCCTGCCCTGTCCTCCCTGCCCTGTCCTGCCAGCCCTGCCCTCCCTGCCCTGTCCTACCCTCCCTGTCCTGTCCTCCCTGCCCTGCCCTCCCTACCTGCCCTGTCCTACCTGCCCTGTCCTACCCTCCCTGTCCTACCCTGTCCTCCCTGCCCTGTCCTCCATGCCCTGCCCTCCCTGCCCTGGACTTCTCTTTATATAAGGTGCACAGATAAAGGCCGCGCGGCTTTTATGGGGTCTTAAACATTGACGTGACAAATAATTCAGCACTTGCACATACTGATGATGTTTGTTTCACCAACTTACAGAGAGACAGTCCATGTGAGTCCGCGGCCACTGGTGTGGTTTGGAGACGGGTTCAGGAGGGGTTCGGCTCAGTGCACCTGTGAGCCATCACATAGCACAGGACCCTAATTGACCCCGTGACGAGCCCTCCCGTGTGGGGGTAACACCACTGATCACAAACACCTGATTACCGTTATATACATCGCTCGGAATTCTTTCTTTAAGAATTTCGCAGTTCGAACGTTTCCAAATGCATCGTTTTTGAGAATTATTTTTTTACGCATCTGATAAATGTAAGAAATTACATATTGAAAGACGTGCACAACACACACACACACATCATACACATCATACACACATATACACATCATACACACACACACATACACACACATACACATACATACACATACACACACATACACACACATACACACAAATCATACACACACACATACACACACACACATACACACACACACATACACATACATACACATCATACACACACATACACATACACACACATCATACACACACATACACATACACACACACATACACACACATACACACACACATACACACACATACACGCACATACACACATCATACACACACATCATACACACATCATACACACTTACACACATACACACACATCATACACACTTACACACATCATACACACTTACACACACATACACACACATCGTACACACATAGACACACATCATACACACTTACACACACATACACACACACACACACACCCGCACCATTGTATCATCAAATATATCATATCACGATTCAAACAGAATGATATGATTTGCAATTTACACGCGCGTTTTTCTGCCCCTTTCCATGTTATAAAACGAAGTGAGAGAACTTTATTTGCAGTCAATGAAAAAGTCCTTTTCATAATTATTCCTGGAGAATAACAGAATTCCCCTGTGAGGATCGGCATCACACACCACAGCTTGAAAAGGACCAATTATTTTTCTGTGTGAAAGAGCCTGTGAGATAGATGGTGGACATTGACAGTTTTCATCGCTTAAAAAAAAACTGGTCTGAAATGGATGGCACTGTGTGCAACTGCAATCCAACTTCACCGAGTCTGCAATAAGTCTCATTCTCCCACACCAGGTGGGAACATCTTCCAAACACTTAACATTGTTAAACCACTTACTGTTGCAAAAAGGACCCAACTTTTTTTTTTCTTACGGTTGACGCACATATAAAAGCAGCGACAAAGCCAATACATCCGATTGAGACACATGCAACACGTCTCGACTAAATGGCAATCCACAAACTATAATAAAATAAAAATTGTTCTTTCTCATATTGAAAAAAAACCCATACAATATCTTATTTATTGAGGGACTATGGTGTCTCTCTTTTTACACCAGCAAATCTGGTAAAAAAATATCTCCATCAGAAGTTTGATCAATCAATCCCAGTAGCCTGACATATTTTATCATTAATAAATTACATATCTTACTATTTTAATCACGCCACACACGCACAAACACAGAACCATGGTTCCTTGGGCTTTTTTAAAAAAAAACACGTTCATATTTACATTACAAAACCAAATCAAATCGTTTGAAACACTTGGGTCAGGTGTACTTAGGCATTAAAAGTTAATGAATTCAACTGGTTGTGTTGTGTACATGTCTAATAGTCGCTGCCAGTCGCTACCCCTATCAAGGATGCTATCGATATAAACACAATTTGTGCTCAGTTTCTGGAACAAATCGACCCTTTAAATTGATGATTATATATGTACTCTAATAATAATTCTTGCATTTGATACGGCGCCTGATCACGTCTTCGAGACGTCTCAAAGCGCTTCACAGAATATACTGTAAAGTGAATTGACTGCATTTTTCTGGGTGAAACACATCAGCCAATTGCACACAGCAGCGTCCCACAAACAGTTGTGGATTGAGTGACCAAATTATTATTACTATTTTTTGAAGGGATTGTTACTCAGAGGACCATTTTTGGACCAGTTTTTGCCAGTTCATTGAACTCACCGGGAACTTGGAACATTTTCCTGATTGAAAACTCGTGGTAAAGGATGGGGTAAGTAAGGCTCGGACTTATCTCTACCTTTTTCGAGCTGTATTTCAACCACAGATGACTTTTATGATTTTTTTTCAGTTTTCTTTCCAGGTTAAAACAGTAAACCTCTTAAGAATCAGAATGAATGAAGTACTGGTTATAGATCATTACAGAACACAGCCAGTTAGGGAAATTTCATCTTTAAAGTGTAAATATGTTTAAAGTTGTCTTTCTTCAGAAAACGACAAAAGCTGAATGCCTTGGGATGTCCTCCCGATGTGAAAGGCACTATATAAATGCAATTTGTTGTTGTTGTGGGGACATCCAGGCAGCATGTCACTAACGATTGGAAACTTGTGTTTAAAACAACAATGCTAATCTTTTTCAAAATATCGAGCGCTACACGTTAAACCTATGCTTTAGTTGTGGGCAGATGCATAAATGGAAGGTTAAACCCAAATGCTTTTAAAACAAAATCTTAAAAGTGTGCATTTTTAATCTCGAATTTGTGGGTTAATGTACCTTGGTGTTGGCTCTGCCAAGCAGTTGGTGGAGGAGAAATGACATTCTTCACAGACGAGATTCTAGTTTGACCTTAGCATCTGCCAGATTCACAGCCCCGACCCGAGAGGTGTTAGGCATGTGCTGTCTCTGCCGTGCTGAGTGGCTCTTAATAAACAATGAAGGTTCCTCAGCCACGTACAACTGCTTTAGGTGTGTTTGGCTGTAGCTTTAGTGCTGACAATCAAGCAGCATATACTTTATATATATATTACATTACTCCAGGAAGAACATAAAAGTTTGCTAGGCAGAAGAAGATCAAGTTCCTTCCAGTTCACCTTCCACCATCCTGGCAGTCGCTTGACATGTCGTGTCCCAAACTATACACTCTATCCCCAGATATTATTTTCTAACAGGAATCTAGCTAATTTGTTCTTGAAAGAAACAACACTTTCTGCTTCCACGGTCTCCCGAGGGAGCTTGTTCCGTACGCTTATTTAAGAACTGAAACATGGCATCACAGACCCTCCTTTACCAAGCACGCGAACAGTTAAAGTAGAAGGAAATGAAAAAGTAAGGGTTTTAAAATGTTTTTTTTATTGATGAATTGAAATCTAACAGAGGAAGGCAAAGTAAGGTTATACGAACAAGAAAAAAATCCTGATATTCACCAAAAATCAAAGCGAAACAAACCCCCCAGTTATGGTGCAAACTCAGCCTCATGACAAAAATACAAGGCTGAAATAATCTGACTCCATCTGTCCTTAGTAACCAATCTAACAGCAGCCAGGATAGCAAGTCGTTGAATGCAGTTATACTCCCAACAGATTATTGGTGCCAAGTGACTTCCACATCTGGTAGGTTTAGTCTTCAGCGGCCTCCACTTCACAAGCCACCCAATGAATAGAAACGATACAGCTCAAAAAGGAAACGTGACACGAGTGTATTATTTTACAGTATTACACTTTACTATTTAAATACCACGGTGTCCAACATGGCCGCTAAGCACTGCACAATATTTGAAGTCATCACCACATCCACGTGCTCTTCCAAATGGCGTTTTGGATCCTGTAAAAAACAGATACACGACCATTATTAGTGGTTAGAGCACTCGCTTTTCAAGTGAGAGACCTGAGTTCAATTCCAGGCAGAGGGCGAAACCTTGGGCAAGTTTCCTTACTCCACACAGAGCCTAATAATAATCCCTCCAAAAAAACAAACAAAACAATAATAAATTGGTCATTTTCAATCTACGACTGTTTGTGGGACATTGCTGTGCGCAATTGGCTGCCACGTTCGCCCACAAATATACAGTCAATTCACTTTACAGTGTGTTCTGTGAAGCGCTTTGGGACGTCCTCCCGACGTGAAAAGCGCTATATCAAATGCAAGGATTATTATTATTATTAATCACCATTAGGTGACCTTCTAGACAGGCACGCGTTTTTTTAAAAAAATGTGCTTATAATAATAATAATTATCCTTGCATTTGACAAGAGCACCTTATCACACCTTTAAGACGTTGCAGAAAGAAGTTTGCAATCTATTCAATCGCTGTGTGGATTGGAGATGGTAATGATATATTCCTGCAGCCCCCAGACCTGCTGAGGACTGCATGCACATCTGTAACTCCTCTTCAACCATCTGTTACTCTTTATGTAAAGTGAATAAAGCACTGTGCTCTAGATTATACAGACAACTGCCCAAACTCACCTGTTTCCCAACATTTTTAATTGCCAGCTGTTCTGGAGTCATCTTATCCTCTTCCTCCACAGCCTGTAAGAAAAACAATCACAGACTAAAGTTAAAACGCCCAGGAATACCAATCGTTGGCACACTATATTATCACTAGTAGACTTAGTCATCTTACTAATTCTATGATTGTTAAACAATACCTTGTTGTAGTTTTTGGCCAGTTCCAACATCTCTTTCACCACAGTTTCATTAAGTTTACAATGTTCACTGTAGTCCTGAAGTGTTAGGCCTTCCATCCAACTCTTTTTATGCAAGTTCAACAACATCTGGCAAAAAAAAGTTAAATGTTGAGTTATAAACCAATAGAAGAAAACACTACATAAGGAAAGGAGTTGAGCCGTCAGTCCTTTAGGATCTTTTAATTCTACATATACATCTCTTCCAGACACTCAAAAATAAATCAGTACTCTTCCCTTTGTGCAAATAAGCTCCTGTATTCCAAACAGGATGAAATAGAAAGGGCTGTTGTTTTACAGAAGATTAACCTTTAGCTTCCAAGACCAATTAACATTTGACAATCATGCTTATTGACTGTGTAAGATATTCTTTGCATTGCACCATGACAAGGCCACAATTAGAAGAGTTAGAAATCTAAATAGCAACTAAACTCAACAAAAGCAAATGTACCTTTTGCTCAAGTTCATTTTTCCGATAGTTGATGGTGATTGAGTAGTAATGCCGATTTAATCCATGAATCAGGGCCTGAAAAACAGGATATAAGTGAACAGTAATAATGGCGACTCCTCCAGCACTAAGCTAACCTGTATAGTCTGGTGTTTCCACTTTTTCGCAGAACTTACAGGAAGGTTGAAATGATAACAATCCAATACAAATGCATTATGTAAATAACATTTAGTGCATTTGACTAGTGCAATCTACAATAGCATGGTCAAATATGAACACCCCAATGAGGAATTTTCAAACAAAACTGGTTACATAGCACGATTCAGTAGAACTCCTTCACAACAATCTCTGATACTGTAGTCTACTAGACAATAGAAAAACACTGGATAAGGTGATAAGGAGCTATATCAAATGCAAGGATTATTATTATTATTATAAGTATATATCCAAAGTAGGTTTTCTTCCTTAAGCAAATATGGTAGTTCATGCCCACCACAGAGGAGCTTTTGAAGTGAGGATCATTTAAATAAAGTTTTTTTTTTAGAAATCTATAGCTCTAGTGCACTAAATTATATATATATATATGTGTGTTTTAGCAAATGGCATACAGCTATATTTGCATATCACTGTAGTTATTTATCTGTGGAACACTGCCTGAGGTAATGACATGGAATGATGTGATAAAATGAACAAGAGGAGTCGTTACAGCAGGGGCTTAAAGGGTCAGAGAACTATTCTCTTGAAACTTGCATGTGTGGACTTGTGACTAGGCAAAGCTCCCAGTATATCTTCTGTTCATTATCATTACTTTAAATTTGAATAAAAGTCCAAGTTAAACACTACAAGTACTTTCCTACAGATCGTCATCCTTAATACTGCAATCGGATGCATTCATACCTTTTTTTATTACTAGACTTAATCAGGGCATGAAAATCAGAAACAGAGAATATTAAGTGTCTTGTAAAAGGAAATCCAAAATGGCTGAGAGGTACATTGTGTTTTTAGTACATGTAGGACTTAAGATACAGTGCTAGAAATCATAACCTCTTCAAACTATTTGTACAATTAGCAGCTTTTCTCTCTTTTTGTACAGTGGAATATAAAATGTCATTTCTAACTGTTCACTTTGACCACGTGGACCTGTATAACGCTCACTCACTCCTCGTCATGGTGTGGAACCCCAATGTCTTGTTCAATTCCCAACTGTCCTTCACAGCCTACATGTGGCTTCCCCTCCCCCACTCCTCCCCCCACATCGCCCCCCCCACCTCCTCCACACCGCTCCCCCCCCCCCACCTCCCCCACACCGCGCCCCTCCCGCACACCACCCCTCCCCCACACTGCATTTTCAGTCATCTTTCCCCTCTGTCCCTCGCTCCCTCCAACCCCATCCCATCCTCCCAGTCACTTGAGGATGTTTCGAGACATCCTCCCGATCTGAAAGGTGCTCCATATTTGTAACTTGTTATGTTTCTATTGACATGCTAGTTTAGTGCTGGATTTTCTGGCTTTACCTGGATAGACGGCTTGTTGAGGTGACCAAGGTTTGAGGTCGTTTGTCTTGGCTCGTGTCCCAGTACCATCATATTGGCATTAATCAGTCTAAAGGCATCAATAACAACCTGGGTAAAAAGAAGACAAATATAGTCATTCCATTTCAGTAGAACCTTGGTGTCACATCTGGCTTTGGCTTCCATCCAGACAAAGACTTAATAAAGAACTAAACAGAAGGAATTTCCTGCTGATTGTGCCATCGGCATACCACTTTATACCCTGTAATGTAAGGTGACATCAATTAAACACATCATTTGTATGCAACATCAGTAGGGGAAATATACAGATACAACAACAGTTTACTGCCTAATTATTCATCAAATTATTAATAAACTCCATTGTTAGAATCATAGTAGAGTATAATTCAGTCAACTCGCGTTGTCATGCTATAACTGAGAGGTCGGTTGTCCTTACATATGTTTACTACCCAGATCCCATCTAATCAATATGAATGACAGGGAGCGAAGAAGACTGAAAGTGAGCACAGGCTGAGGGATTCTATGTAAAGCCCAGCCCTGTCACATCAACAACATGATCACAATACTCGAAATGACAAGAAAATTATTGCCAGCATGGAACTCCCCCTTGCATTCTACTGCAGTCATATGCTTCTGCTTACCCTGACCAAGTAAAGAGTCTGTCCCCTGTCTCATTGATTAAGATGTCCCTTATCAGTGTCACATCCAGGACAAGACACAAACAAGCCAGGAGAAACCACAGCCAAGGTCATCTGTCATTTGTCAGGTTACTTCTTTGTACCTAGCTAGTTTTACATTATCAATAAAATATTTACGTAGATACATTTACAGAACCAGACAGAAATAATAAAACAGCCCATCAATTCCAAACAGCAACAAGAATCTGCAATATGATATTGTATTATGTTATATTCCAAATCCTTTACTTGAATGGTAGTATTTGCAAATCTGAGTCAGAAAAAAATGAAGATGTTTCTTTACATTGCACAAGATGGCACTTTACATGATCATATACAGTTTTAATCCATCTCCGTCCAAATCACACCCTAACCCTCGACAGGACCTCTCTCTGGTGACATTGCGAGCAATCTTTTTCCAGCTCAAGATTTCCAGTGTCAAAGCGAATCATCCTTCCACTGTGGAAGAGGGAACACTGCAAGCCCACAGAGAGAGGCACGGACAATCACTGTGGTCATTAAACCCTTATTAGCCGGGGTTTTCCCCTGAGTTATGTGGACTCATTATCCCAGGAGAATCCACTTTCCTTTCTCCCAAACACAAAAAGCTTTCGTACAACCCGTAATCTCATAATAAAGATAATAACCAAATATTACATTCAGATTATTTACTCTCAATCTGATCACTGCCAATCTGGAACATATATTTGAAATAAAAGTTAAAATGCATTAGTTTGTTAAACGGCATTAGGAAAGTAGAAAAGTGGAGGTGTACTGTAATAATAATAATAATCTTCGCAATTGATACAGCACCTTAACACATCTTCAAGAGGTCTCAAAGCATTTCACACAATATACCCTGAAGTGAACTGACTGTAGATTTTGTGGGCGAAACACGGCAGCCAATTGCACACAGCAGTGTCCCACAAACAGTCGTGGATTGAGTGACCATATTATTATTTTTTTGTTTCTGTAAATTAAACAACGAAATTATAGATAGCTGACCAATATTGCTGAAACTCCTCACAATATTCTTGTCCACTCTTCTAACATTTATTATTTGCTGCAATATACTCTGTACATACTGTACGTATCTATAAACAGTATTATATTTTGTTTTATTTTGAAGCTTATAAAATGTTAAATAATTCAGGCAATTTTCAGGATGATTTTGTTGTGTCCCCTGCTTCTCCTTTCTCGAGTCTGAGTGAAAAATAATGGAATGCTTTCCCATTGAGTTGTAAGCTGTTGTGCGGAGTGCTCACGTCAAACAAATGGGGAAGGTATCTGTTGTAAAAGATAATGCAAATATTAGTTCTGGTTCAAATGCATTCCAAGTGCAGTTTGAATTTTTAAAAAAAACTTGATGCTGAAAAAGAACTGGTCTGCTATTCACTGTGGACAGAAAATGTTAATCCAAACTAATGTAAAATACAAGTATTTGATATAACCTGTTTAGCCAATTTTCTTGAATCAGCAGCCTTGGGGTGTGGCAGGTGCCTCATCTAGTATGTGGTGTGAGGTCAGACAGTGAGTGCCAGGAAGCTGGTCAACCGGAAAGGGTATAAAACTGGGCCCAAGTTTCCTTCTGGACTCACTCTCTCCCTCAACACTGCGTCTCGCTGGACTGTGAACTTGAACTCTCTGACTCAAAGGCAAGAGTGCTACTAACTGAGCCAGACTGTCAACCTGGCACTCAACACACAGGCAGTCACTTCAGCAGTGACTGGCCATTTCACACTTCATTATATTATAGCCTCTGAGACATTGGACCCAGATGATGTCTCAAAGTGCTTCACAGTATATACTGTAAAGGGTTGTGACTGTATTTTGTGGGCGAGATAGATTGCATATCAACACTAAACTTGTGGAGGAAGTAAATTATTTCAAAATTGCCAAGAATACAAAATAAGCCACTTTTTTGTCATCACTTTGAACAGAAGGGTATAAGTAGCACACCAATAGGCACGTCAGTCAAGCAGCCCATTGTGGCTCTGGGCTACCCCACTCCCTCCCCCCGCAATTTGCTTCCTTGGAACAAATAGGGAAAACAGATATACAAATAATATCACTAAAAAGTGCCAATACAAACAATCTTTTATCAGTTGAAAGCATAGAGTTTATCAGAGAGTTGTAGCTGGTAATGTTGAGGCAGCTGAGCGAGCAGCTATTTTTCACACTATTGCTTAACCAGTTCACCCTTTAAAACCTCGTCGTGTGAAAACAAATCACCATATTTAACAAGCATCCAAGGCCTTAAAGAGGCAATTTCATCGCCAGGATTATACCTCTGAAAATATTTTGAAGAATTCTGATTAATGCAACCATCTATTTCCCCTTTGTTCTTCCGAAATTATATAGCTGATAGCGGTGGCACAATATTATTTATAAATTTTAAAAAAAGAAATACTATTAAAAATCTTGATTTGTCATTAATATTTCTTCCAGGTGATCAAATTAACCAAATTAGGAAACTCTGATTAATTACATTAAATTATAGTAAATATCTATTGTTTAGACAAAACAAGCCATTTAACAAAAAAACTATTATTAGCTTTAACTTATAATAATAATTCTTGCATTTGATACAGCGCCTTATCACGTCTGCGAGACGTCTCAAAGTGCTTCACAGAATATACTGTAAAGTGAATTCACTGTGTATTTTGTGGGTGAAACGCATCAGCCAATTATGCACAGCAGCGTCCCACATGGTCGTGGATTGAGTGATTACATTACTATTTTCAAAAAAATTGTTGAAGAGATTATTATCCTCGGAAATACAGTGCAACAATCGACTAACAATCGGGTTACTCCTTACAGCTACAAAACAGCGGCGCCTGGAGTAAGGAAATCTGCCCAATGTTTCACCCTGTCCGGGAATTAAACCTAGGGCCTCTCGCTTGTGAGTTGAGTACTCTAATCAATAAGCTACAGGACTCCACAATCTCTTATGATCTTAACTTTAGCTAAATCCTATCAAAATATATTTTATTTAATGACTTCTGGGTAAATCACTGGGAAGTGTGAGACCTGAATTAACATCAACTGAAACGGCCACATGACTGAAGCATCCTGGATTAATGACTATATCTAATGATGTTAACTCAGTCCCATCACACTGTCAGCCTTAGTAAATTGTCAGCTTTCCCATGAGATCAACAATATACACCAGATTTTTGGTTCACAAGACAGAAATTTGATATAGCGCCTTATCACGTCTTCAAGTCTCAAAGCCCTTCACAGAATATATTATAACAGGTTTCAAGTCTGCTTTCTAATAGAAAGTTGTGCAATTATATATGATAACCACTTCGAGAATCCTTAATGAAACTTTTCCCACAACCGATTTTGCTCCATTTTTAATGTAAAATAAGTGTTAAAATTGTAGCAAGCATTGTTTAATTGTAATTCTCCATTTTTTCTACTATGGCCATCAATAGTATGGTTCCTCTATTTCAAGCAGTACACAGAACATGTACGTGTAGTGACTGTGTACTTGTAGGCAAACGTGGCAGCCCATATGTGCACAGCAATGTCCCACAAACAGTCATGAAGTGAATGACCAATTTTATTCAGGGATCATTGGCCAGGACACCAGGAGAGAGAACCAGCTGAACAGGCAAATGGGATCTCGGTTTAACTTTTGATCCAAAGAACGGCACCTCCAGCACTGCTCTGGAACGTCAGTCGAGACAGCTGTGTGAGTTCAAAGTCCCAACAAGGGGTTTGAACCCACAACCTTCTGACTCAAAGGTGTGAGTGCTATCACTGAACCAGACGCACACACACACAAATACAGTACAACAGGAACATATTAAATAATCCTCAAAACTAGGCAGCATCTTGAGAACATGATATATTACACTATGTATTTAGCAATATTACTATTCAAAATAATACAAACCATCGAACTGAAAAGGTTTCATTTTTCATCCAAACTGTATTCCAAGTCTCACATCTTAAAGCAGTTTATGCACTTCAGACAGTCAGGGGTAGAAGTACTGTATTAATGCAAATTGACCAAATCACTATAGCAACTCCTTCAAGGCAACTAGCACATTAACAAGCAGCTACCTGGAATTAGATCCAAATAAACACAACAGAAATCACAAGATCTTCTAGGCTACCAGTTTCTGGAGAATATGTTGTAATTACTTTTTGGGGGAAAGAACAACTGAGTTCATCCCCAAACAATCATTCCCCTTAAGTAGGCATATTAATATAACAGACTCATTAATGCCCGGCTCACTAATGAGCATAGGGTAGGTCGGGTGTTAATTATACTGCAGTCAACTCAGAAACGGCCCTAGTGGAACTCGCTTTCACTATTCACAACCCTCCAAAAGGCTCTTTTTCTGTGGTTTGAAGGGCATCAGAACGTAAACAGCAAGTACAGGACATCACACTGCATTG